TAGAAAAGTTGAAAAATTTTGTCTAGAGTAATTTTTTAATTTTTTTGTATAAAAATAAAAAAATAATTATATGTATGTATAGATTATAACATAATAGTTCTCAAAATATGAATTTTAAATTTTAAACGTCATTGATAATATTTTATGAATATAATAAACAAAAAAGTTATGTAGGACCCAATACAAAACTCCAAAAAATCAGAAAAAACTCATAAAATCATTTTCTAGAATCAATCTAAATAAGTCTTTTTAAATCCAAAAAATTGTTGTATAAGTTAGTAAAAAAGTTAAAGTCTAAACGGTCCTGACTTATTTTACTCCACAATCCATAAAAACTATTTATTTAAGCTAACTCTAAATAGACCCGTATTAATTGTACAAATAATGGTAGTAAATCCCAACCAGTTGATGAAACATTGTGTTGAGAGGAGAGAGGATTACCCATGTGCGTAGGTAGGTATTCTTTTCCCTCGGACTTTATGTGCTATACCCGCAAATACATTAGGTCAAACAATGCGTCTTTTGCGAGACCCAAATTTGTGATCACAAAATAATAAGCTCCGAGACATCTATCCTCGCATACCTCTTTTATTGGTCATAACCTATAAAAATGGCCTATCTTATAATGCCAGTAAGATTGAGATAGAGTGCTTACCTCAAATTGTTGACATTTTGGGACAAAGTAGTATGTGATTTGTGTTTGTTGCTAGCTCACTACTACTCACCTAACAAAAGAAGGCCATTATTAAGGTACGAAGGTTGTCTTATCTTAGAAAAGTTGAAAATCTTTCCCTATTTTTGTGGGTGCACTAACAATCATCAACTAAATAATTGTTTCAAGGTCTGCTTTCGTTGACTTTCAATACCAAATGCAGTGGAAGCATGTAAACTAGCACATGTGAGGTTGGACTTGGGAGGGGTTCGGCTTGATGTTTTCTTTCCCTCTAATTTGATCATCTTATTCATTGCTTCTATGGACAAGGAGTTGAGTATGCAGTCAGAAAAAAATAAAGGCAAAAATATTGCTTATTTATTAATAGTATCCTTTCTTTTTGTTCCAATCATAATATGAGATGTTGGAAAATTTATAATTCTTGACAGGATGTGGACGGTTTGTCAGTCATGAGTTGAAAAGTGGCATAGAGTTACCAATAAGTATTTCCCGTGAACTTTCATTGATCAAAGTTGATCAACTAACGCCTCCAAAACCGAGTAGATGTGCTCAAAGACATATATAACGTATGCACGGGTCAGCCTGAGCATTGCTTGTTCTTGAGAAGAGCATTTCATGCAGAATGTGTTAATGTGCCGAGTGATTATGATCCTATCATATCAATTTGGGTCTAACATCAAATTCTTGAAAACAAGCAAGAAGGGATGACCCTTTTTTACGTCGACATAAGGTCGTGAATGCTCAACATGAAGCACCCGACATTTGGGATGACTTAAGGGATGAACAATAATAAATACTTGGCCTCCCGAGCAGTAAAGCCATGATGGCACCACATCATCAAGTATTTATGAGGCATAACAAGGTGTAGTAAGTGCATAGTTCGATGACAAAAAGTCAACTGAATTGCCCTCAAGAAGGGATATCGACCGTAGAGTGTCAAACCTACGCATGGTGCACACAAGTGATCTCCATGTCATCATCTTTGGAGGTGTAAATAGTTCGATAAATCGAAATTCACGTATATATGCTAAATTAATTTTGCACAATACACTTATTCTCTCAACCTTAAGTATCAAATTGACTTAAGAATTGGAAAGGGTAAGTCAGGTACATGCCCGGCCCATTTTTGACTTCATTCCTTGTTTCAAGAATGTCACTTAAGTTCGATCATGAGTTGTTATCTCAAATTATTGTAACAAAGCACTCATTCAACTTCGTTGTTTTATCTTACTTTATATCCTCACGATCAATAATTATAAATAATTGAAATTAATATCTAAAGTAGCCAAAAGTAGGATTAAGTGAGTCCATCGACTGGAATTACAAAAATAACCTTAACATACCATCTTCCTCTTGAACATGTATAAACGAGGTCCAGGTTACATGGACCCATGCACCACCCATCTTGGAGACAAGACCTCCATTTGGCCCTAACACAACCAGATAAGCAGCAGTTGTGATTGCGAGAATAGTACGATGCTTTGCTTTCTGTGTGCTTTTTCTGTAAATTTTATATTTAGACACAGACATTCTGATAGGTTCGGGAATCAAAATTTTATATTAGTTTAGTATTTTGATCATTAAAAAAATAAAAATATTTTAATCCGTTTCAAAAATATGTTGACTTATGTTAAAAACAGAATAAAATTGAATAAAAATTTAAAAAATTATTTTTTAAAATATTGATCAAAATACACCAATACACCACCTTCTGAAAATAGCTTTTGATTGATTCAATTTGTAAACGGCTTCCTTCCCAATCAACATGCTTTGGCTTTCAAACAATATGAATCTCATCCGATATAATTTCATTCAATTTATTTTAGTTGTTTGTCTACCGTGTGTTTGTGAAAAATCCACTTATATATAGCAAGTAATTTCACTTGTACTCGCATTGGGTGATTTATTACTAACTAAAATTGAAGAAAAAATATACTGCAATCCAATTTCAACCTCGGATGGCCAGATTTTTGGTAGAAAATTGGCTATGAAAATTCCCCCTATTTTTTCACAGAACATTTTTTTCATAATAAACAATATTTTGTTGGGCTAATTTTGAAAATTTTAAATATATCTTATTTTAGAGCAATGCTATCAAGACCTCTAATTTATTGTAGCCCTTGGATTGACTATGTACTCCATCAAATATAAAAACTTAATGTTAATCCAATAGTTACAATACAACCACATCATTAGGTCAACAAATTTTTAAGTTTCAATAACATTATTCCTTATTTTAAATACAGTAAATGACTTGAAAACACATTTTTTTTCTTAACTTCTACATTTTTACACTTGCAATTTTTCTTCCCACAAAAAACCAGGTACAAAAAGGAGTCCTTAAACACAGCAAAAACACATTTTTCAAAAAAAAAAAAAAAATTAGCAAAAACACAGGTCCTAGATGCTTATATATAGTGATTGTCTCTTTATGCAAAAAAGAAAGACCAAAAAAAAAATAAAAGAAAAGAAAATCCAATCAATCAAAAACTCTTTTCAAACGGCTCAATTTTTGTCAGATTTCTGTACATCAGTCGAATTATATACTTCTTTTGGGCACACACAACTTTAGATTTAACGGTGGCAAAATTTGGAAGTTTAAACCTTATTTATTATTTTTTTTTGGGATTACAGTTGGGATATCCAAATTAATTTACATGCACTTCGATTAATTTTCTTCTTTTGTTCTGTCAAAAACAGATCAGCCACTTTAAAACTAAAAATTTTATAAACGATAAATCATTCATAATTTAATTTCAAGAGAATTGTCATATTTCAAATTCAAAATATTTAGGTTTACTAGTAAGTCTCTCCCCTCACTTTTGAACTATCACTCACTTGGGATTAAAGTTTAGGGAGAATCATACTTTGTATCATGAAAAATTTAAAGATTTTCATTTTATATCCTCAAAAATTAAAATTTTTATATTATAAACTCAATGTATCAAAAGTATTGTAATGTGACCCTTCTGTTCAATTCTGTTATTTTTTCCGTGCGTGTCAATGGGAAGACTTTTAATGAAAAAATAACGAAAATTAACAGAAGTGTCATATTATAATACTTTTAATAAATTGAGGGAATAATATAAAATTTTTTATCTTTGAGAATATGAAATAAGAATTCTTAAATATTTTAGGGTATAAAATATAATTCGCTCTAAAGTTTAAACCTTGGTCCAAGATAACTCATTTTTTACCATATTTAAGAGAGAGAGAGGAGGGCATGGTGGCTTTTTCCTGCTTAATTGGCCGGTTGCCCGAGAATTTTCTTTTGACTTGGCGAGCCCCAAGTATGGAAAAATGGTGTTCTTGTTCTTTCCTTCTCCTTATCAATAAATTTTCCAGCCATTCACGCCTACTCTAGTGGACATTAGTGCAGGTACTATATGAAGCTCTCTCTCTCTCTCTCTCTCTCTCTCTCAGGTGCCGCAGGGGTCTTTTCCTTTCAGGATTCTTTACCGAGTAATTTTACATGATGGCCCCTCCTTCATAAATATATCTCTTGCCTGCAATGGTTGTTTTCTTTCCCAGTTGTTTATTACTCATTCTTTAAGATATTCATTAAAAAGACAACAAGGTAAATGAATATCACCCCAAGTTTAATGTTTGAAGACTGGGTGAAGTAAATTCATCTAATTTGTTGTACTTTCACCTTTGATACTAGTTAGTTATACAATGTGACTATCTCTATATGTGGTTACACGGCCTCAAAATTTTTGAGCCGGATTTTAATCATTAAACTAATAGTCATCTCTCTATATACATATACATAGTGATATTTTTTGGTACAAAAAACTCATGTACCCAATTTGGTTGTCTGATGTATTACGATCAAATGTTGAGATCCACAGTTAATTCTATTATCATAATAATTTTATTCTCAAGAAACCAAAGTTTTTTATTCAGTTCCAGGCATTTTGGTCATTTCAGGAGGTCTGAGTGCTTAAGTGATAAATATTAGAGAGTCTAAGTGTAATTTTTTCTAACTTTGAAGCAAGGGGCATTTCTGTAAATTTCCATCAGCTTATCAAGCACCTTGCATATATACCTCCATGATCAGTTGGTTTTTGGTTCTCCACAAATGTGCATCGAATTTCAAAAATCCCCATTCATTCCACTTTAGCTGAAGCTTCTGTCCCTTCTTTCTCTCTCCTCTTTCTATCTTCCTTTCTCCCTCTTAGCCTTGGTGCTTTAAGTAGTTCATGGATATTGATCTCCTCTGGGTTCTTGGGGGGTGGCTTCTTATTCCTGATAATTGCATGGCACCATTGAAGACTTCAATCTCTCAAATCTACACAAAGTCTCACCTTTTTTTTCTCTTTGTCAGCCTCAGCCTTCTCTTCATCTTCCTCCTACTGGTTCACCCTTCTGATCCTCTAAACCCATCCATGGCCTCTTCTCTTCAGTTATCCACAAAAAGATCACTTCTTTCTGATTCTTCTTCCTCTGCTTCATCGACAATGAATTTGAACCCTAAAAAGACCCAGAACTCACATGCACCTTCTTCAACCTCCACTCGAACAGAGTTTGAATCTGCTGCTCATGACGTACCCAGTGGGCCAAACCCAATATCAAACAGGTAAGTTTTCCAAGCATCGATCAATTTGCAACGGCGTGAAGAAGCAGGTAATAGAAGACGATAGCTGCTGCGTGCGAGGATTGTAACGGCGTTAATACTGTTGTTCTCTTTATGGTCATTATCTCATTCGCCATTAATACTCCTTGTCCCTCAGTGAGAAGTTTGTTGCCTTTGTTGGTATCGTCATCATCGTGAGCATCACTTTTTTTGCTCTTTTTCTTCTAGAATTGCATAGCAAGAGTCATTATATATATTTTTACCCATATATGTGTTTTCGGGCATGGATGATGATAATATGGTATTCTTCTTACATATTGTTTTATTCTGATATGTATCTGACCGATTTGCTATTCTTGGATTGAGACAACCCAATGTTTAGGTAGGACTCATAGGAGCGTTGTTTATAGTTTGAACATGTCGCATAGATATCTATATTGAGGGAGAGAGAGAGAATTTTTCCACGGGTGAATTATTTCGTCTCTCTATTGGGTTTCAACTTTGAAGTGGTTGAGGAGAAGGAAGGGTAAGGTAGATTTGAGGGGAATCTGAGGCACAGGCGGTGGCGTCAGATCTAGTGAATAGTGAGAGGAACTTTTGCTTTGGCTGAGAAATTATTGGCAGTGTGCTTTGGACTTTGCTTTTGTGTCTTCTCAAACACATCATTCAATAAAGCTGATGAAAAAGCATTATGAGTTGATGATTTGATAATATTAACAGTTTCATTTGAGGGATCATCTCATTCAACCATCGATTTTCAATCATAAATGCTCTCTCTCTCTCTCTCTCTCTCTCTCTCTCTCTCTCTCTCTCTCTCTCTCTCTCTCTCTCTCTCTCTCTCTCTCTCTCTCTCTCTCTCTCTAACATTGACTTTGGATCCACCTTTCAGGTCATGCCATTATTTTGGAGTCTCCGGATTATGGAGATCTCTTAAGAGTAATGCTGAATTTTTAATAATACATGCGAACTGATAGTCAAGTTATTCTAACTGTTGGTAGAGTAAATCACGCCTCCAATTTTGGGATTAGAAGGCAATTGCATTTAAACCGATAAAAACTTAAGGTTAGACGGAATTGAAATATATATATATATATATATGATGGTGTGTTCTGCACAATTAAGCATAAGGGTATTATTTAGACGATTGAGATCACGGAAATGTCCCATCAGGGTTTTTAGATTTTTAGGGGTTAGGCAATGTAATTTAAAAAATAATAAATAAAAAATTTATAATGGTACACCAACTTGAAAGTTTAGTTAATTTATTTTAATAGAGTCTCTTGCTTTTAAGCGAATTTTTTATTAATCAAGGAAGAAGATTACACTGGGGAATTATGCAGATAATTACCTGAATACAATGTGAGAGATTTGATCCATTTTTATAGTCTTTAGATGCCTTGTGTGATCGTTGTCACCTACCTGTAACAAATGCTCCCTTTGCGTAATCGGTGTTGAGGCAGTTGCTTCTCATCTGTCAAAATATTGGGCCGTTACGAATTACATTCTCTAAGTGTAATGTGACTTTCTGGATTGTACAAGTTGTCTTCGTGTGTACGAGGGTCTTGTTGTCGAAGATTCCTGACGTGCGCTGGCCGAGCTAGTGATCATGAGCTGTGGAGTCTGTGCTTAAGTGTTCGAGCTGGATGTACCGAGCTTAACCTTAGCTAATTTTAGGTATTATCAATATATATATATATATTCAATTTTTCTGATTATATATAAATCATTTATTATAAATTCATATAAAACCCATCATACATAAATAAATCCTCCACTAATACACGACCTATGTTTTATTAGAATAAATTCGGATATAATGATCAGAACAAGATGTATGACAGTATCTGATCAATGTAGTTACAATCAAGTTGTGTTGGGATACATGTAAAGACAAACAATAAGATTCTGATATGTTCCAATAACATCATATCTAATTTTATCGACCTCGCTCTCTATACATTTGAAAAGCAGATTTGGTGCTAAAACAACCTCTTGGTGAAGGTATGTNTTGCATTTAAACCGATAAAAACTTAAGGTTAGACGGAATTGAAATATATATATATATATATATGATGGTGTGTTCTGCACAATTAAGCATAAGGGTATTATTTAGACGATTGAGATCACGGAAATGTCCCATCAGGGTTTTTAGATTTTTAGGGGTTAGGCAATGTAATTTAAAAAATAATAAATAAAAAATTTATAATGGTACACCAACTTGAAAGTTTAGTTAATTTATTTTAATAGAGTCTCTTGCTTTTAAGCGAATTTTTTATTAATCAAGGAAGAAGATTACACTGGGGAATTATGCAGATAATTACCTGAATACAATGTGAGAGATTTGATCCATTTTTATAGTCTTTAGATGCCTTGTGTGATCGTTGTCACCTACCTGTAACAAATGCTCCCTTTGCGTAATCGGTGTTGAGGCAGTTGCTTCTCATCTGTCAAAATATTGGGCCGTTACGAATTACATTCTCTAAGTGTAATGTGACTTTCTGGATTGTACAAGTTGTCTTCGTGTGTACGAGGGTCTTGTTGTCGAAGATTCCTGACGTGCGCTGGCCGAGCTAGTGATCATGAGCTGTGGAGTCTGTGCTTAAGTGTTCGAGCTGGATGTACCGAGCTTAACCTTAGCTAATTTTAGGTATTATCAATATATATATATATATTCAATTTTTCTGATTATATATAAATCATTTATTATAAATTCATATAAAACCCATCATACATAAATAAATCCTCCACTAATACACGACCTATGTTTTATTAGAATAAATTCGGATATAATGATCAGAACAAGATGTATGACAGTATCTGATCAATGTAGTTACAATCAAGTTGTGTTGGGATACATGTAAAGACAAACAATAAGATTCTGATATGTTCCAATAACATCATATCTAATTTTATCGACCTCGCTCTCTATACATTTGAAAAGCAGATTTGGTGCTAAAACAACCTCTTGGTGAAGGTATGTATCCACGCAATGCGATCTTCACACTCACACTCATAAGGTTGGCAAATTGATTGAGTATAACCTCTACTCTACTGTGTGATTGCTGAAAAGAGTGGTTAGTAAGCCCCATGCATCCGCCAAGTTATGGTAACTCTGCAACTACAGTCTATAGCAGCTGCTTCACGTTTGGCTACCGGAGCCTGGGCAATGGAAGAAAAATACAAGGATATTATTATTGAATCTGACTCTAGAGTTGGTCTGTCAACGGATCTAGAGTTGGTCTGTCAACGGATCGGCCAAATTTTAACTAATTTGAATACGATTCAATTATGTGACGGCTTTTATTTTCATGATCAATATCTGAATCCGTTAATAATCGAAAATTCGATTCGAATAACTTGTGATGATACATATAAAGAATTCTAGCAAAGTATGAACTCAGAACCTGAGATCATACAAGGAGGTCAGATGAGATATACAGAGCTCAGTGGTCCAGACCTTGAGCTCCCCTCAAAATAAACAACAAGGAAATGAGAAGAAACAGTTGGATGATTGAGGGCATCCCCAAAACAACAAAAGACTATAATCAAGGTACAAAATTCTCAATTAACCAAGATCTTCTACCAAAATCAAGGGAGATTCTGCAAACGGAAGACAAAGATCTTGCTGAAGATCCCATAAAGTTAGGAATTAGACTATAAATATTGAATAGTGCCTCCAATGTGTGACAAAGACAAAATCCCAATTGAATCAGAAACACTCTGTAAATCACTCAGATCAATATAGATCCGAGGAGCAAGAGTCTCTATTAAAGAGTGGATTAACCGAGTTCTCGAGCTAGTGAACCACTATAATTTCATTGTGCAAATCCCCCAAATTTCCTAAGAATTTTTACCGTAATCCTCTCGAGCCCACTAGTTCATATCTAACCTTACTTGCATGATTCATAAATTCTGTTCACCCACGTAATTAACACCGTCAACTTGAATTAACTAAAATTTAACAAATTATATCTGAATTTTAACTAAGTTTTTTAAAATAATTACTTAAATTTCTTTACAGATTAGATCATAATCGGATCGGAGCAAATGAATCCTTCCCCCTTTCTGGACAGCTGCTTCTACCAAAAGCTCTGACGGTTATTCTGCAACAAGGATCTAGGACCGGAATAGGCAACCTTTTTTATTTTGACCCAAAAAACACAAAAAAAAAGTTCCAACATTCAAGAAAACCCTAGAAAACATCCGTTTGGTTACTACGAAAACATGGGAGAAGGTAAACGAACTGAGATTTCATCTGAACTAATAAGTGGTAAATGTAAATGGCTGAATTGGGTTTAGCTGAGCAAAGGCTACCGCTGCTTATTATGGATGACAAAATTATCTTGCAGTATTTCGTTTCTTTTAAGGTATATTAATTATCGATCAAGCAAAATTATCTGCTATTCAAAATTTTTGTTTTTTGTGGGCTGTTTATCTGCTAAGAGCTATTAAAGAGAGAGAGATAAGGGCAGATGACGCTTTGACCCTCTTAATTATGACATTTTTTTTATATTGCCACCTTAATTATTATGTTTTTGAAATTATATTCCAGACCTCTTAAAATTTATTACTTAATCACATAGACCGTCTTATATTTAAAATATTACACTCAAACTCCTTATAACTTACGATTGAATAACATAGCTAACAAAACCAAGTAAGAGACCAGACTCTCCCAATTAATGGTAGAAGACATTTGAATCAACTAGCAACGAACAATGTGCGTTGCACCTAAAATTTTTTGTTGAAATATTTGATAAAAGACATAAAAAAATGTAATTATGCAGTTACATTAGAGATTTATATAATAAAACATATAGGAAGTATCCCCTTCATATTTTTTTTCCCAAAAAATATAACGTCACCCAATTTTATCACATGTTTAATTATTTAATATTTGATTAATTTGTAGTTTAACACAAATTTTATTTCATTCTTTGTCCATGTACGATAATATACATATGTTGAAAACATTTTGTCTGATTAGACATTTTGAGAAAATTGACTCTATTTTTAAGAAAGTAATAAATATAAATTAATTTTAAATAATATAATCAAATAAACAAAGAAATAAAAAATTATTATTTGGTATAATAGAATCAATTTTTTGAACGCTTGAATCTTTGCAGGCACGAGGTATGATTATTATCTCATATTTAGCATACTTAAATTATTTATATTCTTTTCATAACTAT